CAATGGGCTGGCCATATAGCTCGAAGAACCGATAACTGATGGAGAAGAAAGGTACTCGAGTGGCAGCCCCGTACCGGTAGGCGTAGTGTAGGTCGACCCCCCACTAGATGGAGTGACGACCTAGTAAGACATGCAGGAAGTCGATGGATACAGGTGGCTCAGGACCATGCTTTGTGGCAATATTTGCCAATTATTGCCGATAGTTGGCGATCTGCCCATATATCACAGATTACCCCCGTAATCTGTGCCATACATATTACGATTTGAAGGGCTCACTGAAGTTAGCCCCCCAAAAATTTTTATTTTTCTCCCTCCACTTGTAAACTTTTTGGTTCATGTGAACACACTCTTTTTATAAAATTAGACTGACAAAGTGCAGTCTATCTTACCATCAATGCAGCGTATTGGAGCATTTACACGCATTGGAGCAGCGTGACGAAGTAACTGCTTCATAACCTTCTAAGAAATTGGTGGAGGCCTGTGCCTTTTTACTGGAATAATGAAGTATATTTTGGCGATCTATTACACCGTGTAGAGGCGGTGTAAGTATATCCACTAGCCCATGTCTTCTCGTGAGTGTCGTAAGAGATGACAGAGGGAAACATTTCAAGAGGTAAACAGCAGCGTCTTCCTAATAACGACTAAACATAAAAAATCTGCCAACCCGCTTGCCAAGCGTGGCAACTATGATAAACACCCCCCCCCCTCTCCTAGGAGGCAATCTATGGTGGAGGCCTCTATGGTCAGCAGTGGATTTTAATATGTTGTAACGGTAGCGGTTACATGATAAAATCCGCATTCCGGCTCGTTGTTGCAATTGGTTGAGTGGATGATACATAAACCTTCTCTCGTTTATTACTTTATGCATGTGTGTGTGTGTGTGTGTGTGTGTGTGTGTGTGTGTGTGTGTGTGTGTGTGTGTGTGTGTGTGGCATAGTGTACATAGCCGTGATACTTTAGGGGTGAAAAGTGGATCACATTTCGTGATCACGTGAAAAATTTTTAGATGATTTTTTTTTTGCATACGACATTCTAATTATTAAATTGAGGTTGTGATATTGCTTAGTTCACTCAATAGGGTCAAATAATTACCTAATTAAAGAAAAACCTGAAAATAATAAAATAATTTCCTTGTAATTTAATATCTTCTGAAGTAAGCCCTTAGTATTACTGACTCTCCGATCGACTGAATTTAACATTAGTGCGTGCAAACATGACCAATTTCTACTGAGACTCGACTGCAGATGTTGATGATGAGGCTGTTCAAAACAGAGAATAACAGAGAAAACGGTTTATCTAAGTTTATAATTCATTTTCACCAGCTTCCAGACGTTTGAACAATCTGAAATGTTGAAGGAAACGATGAGATCAATAAATTTTGGCTATGATCCAATATTTAAATAAGGATTATAATTGCTCATATATTATTATACTACAGTAAAAGAAATATATACTAAGAAATATGCTTTAATCAGTAAAAGTCTAAGCTCTAAGATGGAACAGAGCATAATCTAACATACACAACGGTGTAACCAGTAAAGGATTATCTGAGTTTATAATGTCAAATCTTCATAGAATATATATTGCATATATAACCTTAAGGTTGTCTGGAAATTTTCGTTTTTCAACGATAAGACCGTTTTATTGTACTGAATCTACATTATCGTATTTTATGGTGTACAATAAAGTATAATAATAAATCTAAGCATATATATTAAGAAATCAAAGCATATTTATATACATAATATAAATGTATGACAAATGTATGTATTTATATACATTTAGTACTGTGATAGCCAATCCGGTTGTAAAACTTGACAATATCCATTATCCGTCATTGAACAACTTAGAAATTGTTCGTAGCAAACTCTGTATTTGTAACGTCCTAATTGAAATTCCAGTTCCGATCGATTCCGAAGCCCCAAAAGTAGTAAGCCCGTCACACAACGACACTTCGTACTTACTCATCTAATGTTGCAAGCATAATGAGGATTAAAAATGGGGCATGCCACGACCGCAGATCCCACAAATTGCGTACATATTGTGCCCGGGCTTCGCCCAGAACATTGACCGGATAAAAATGTCAGAGCAGGGTTTCACCAAGTTCTGTTACAACAGCGGTTAGATAATGCATCAGTACACCGACTTGTGTGTAGAAATACCGCACCAGAGGTCTGGCGCTCAGTCATGAACTGAATCATTACCATCATCAGTCCTCCTTTTTTACCGACTTTAAAAAGGAGGAGGTATTCAATTCGACTGTATGTTTTTAGAAGTAAAACTTCTTTACGCACGCTTGACTTGGGGGACTTATAAGCTAGTGAACGTGTGACGAAAGCGTTACGAAAAGTGTGATCGGGCAAGGCGAATGGGAGTGGCGTGAGTGGCGGATATGTGTTCAGTGCTCGCGCACATTTTCTTTCTCACTTCCTCTCGTAAATTTATTTCGTTTTGACCAATTATACGAATTATTATTTTGTTCAATACAATATTATACGTTTAAATCGAACAAAATTGTAAATTCATATTAAAGTTCATATTTTGTGAATTTTCGGGTGAATCATAACAAATTATGGAAGGAAGCCAATAATAAATTTAAATATTTGTAGAAAATTAATATAAGTATATGGATATACATCTATATATTTTACACACACACACACACATATATATATATATATATATATATATATATATACAACTGGAGCTAAAGAAGTTTTACTTCAGTCGTGTGGTCATAAGCATTTCATAATTCTGTTATAGCTTAATTGGGAACGTCGTTACCGATATAATTTATAGCAGACTTTAAAAAGGATATCCTCGCCAATCGTTACCCTATTTTAATATATTTTTTGAATAAAATATATATTTTTATGCGTGGCAGGGCCACGCTGCACCTATATTATGGTTGTAGCACAAATGGATCGGCTCGACCGGGGAAGGTTCACGCTCTAACAGAATACCAGCGCAAAATAGCGGTTTCATGCTGATTTGTTTCGTGTGGTGAGTATAGAGAACCAGAGTCCCTTTGTACTGGAAACGAGGAACTGGATCTTAGTTCTCGGAGATGAATACGCATCTGTATTTTGATTGTTAATCGAAATTAGATTTTTTTTAAATGCATTATTATCAATACTATAACTTATAAATACTTAAATTACCATCAGCTGTATGATCATTGCAAAAGTCTTGTGGGTAAATTCTTCCACTACTCAATTTATTCAAGCTGTTTTAGTGTCGTTTTCAATAAAAAAAGTTATATTATGCGGGCGATGCAAAGATTTTATCTGGGCGTTTGAGGTTAATTAGATTATGACTAAATGTGTGCTTTTTTACTGTAGGGTTGTTTTGAAAAACATGGGATTGGGTATTCATAAGATATATTACTTTCTTTCAGACTAAGATTAAAATGAGTGATTCGATAAATTCAATCTGCAATAAAAACAAATCGTTCAACATGTTCTGATTCGCAGAAAAAGAAAAAAAAACCGCCGAATGTCCAGTTTTTTCGATGTTTTAACTAAAAATCATTCGTTCATTATTACATCATTCCTAAATAGTTTTTTCATATTGCATATTGTGTCAAATACTTTAGTACAACTTACAGCGACCAAAATGGCTACAAAACACATTGTAGCTGTCCTGATTTGAAATCCAAATTCCTGATTATTTTATCTTCTATCCCTAAATTTGACCCAACGGACCTGACAACACTACTCTCCTCATATATATTTTTTACATGGTAGGGCCACGCTGCAGCTGTATTATAGTTGTAGCAAGAATGGGTCCACTCAACCGGGGAAAGACCACGCTCTTATAAGATACCAGCGTAAAACAGCAGGTTAATAGTGTATTTCCTATGATTAGTGTGGGAAACGGAGACTGTTTATACTGGAAACGAGGAATTCCATCTGCATTTTGATTCTCAATTAAGGATAAATGTTGATGTCAATGGACCACAGCATCCACTTACCATTAGGTGGACGGTGTTCTCGTGTGTTACCCTTAAAAACATAGCCGTGATATTTTAGGGGTCAAAATTGGATCACATTTCGTGATCACGTGAAATTTTTTTAGGTGAAACTTTTTTGTTAATTCATACGACATTCTAATTATTTAATTCAGGTTGTGATATTTCTTAGTTCATTCAATAGGGTCAAATATTTACCGAATTAAGGAAAAATCTGAAAATAATAAAATAATTTCCATGTAATTTAATATCTTCTGAAGTTGATGCGAATACATTATTTAATAGAAGAAATAATTCAGACACTATTAAATTATGACTAAATTATTTGAATCTTTTTAAGTTTTTGAAATTGGTTTCAACTTTTGTTGAAAGTTTATTAATTGCGAGCTATTTTTAGTGACAAATTCCCTTTAACACGCTATATACAACAGCTGTGAATGCGGCACATTTAAAATTCTATCATAATAAATATTATGTAATGTTCTTTTTATTAATTTTTGCCCTCAATGACGTATGTTATCATGTATATCAAAGTAATGATACTGAAATTAGAGCGGCAGCTATTGGTAACAAGGCATTTCAAGTTAATCCTTGTAAATAATATGGTGCAATATTGATCGATTGCTGGTTTATCATGGGTGTTTATGTGCTAAAATTTACGCCGACTTATTATTAAAGGTCATATATAAATAGTACTACGTTAAAACTATTTCTAATTCTATTAAAGTATTTATGAAGCAGTAATATTTGTCAAGTGGTGACGGTGAAACAGCGTTTCACCGATATCGCTTTTGGGTATCGTAAGTGGCGACATTGGTGATTGACAGGAATATTTCATAACTTACTATAGATGGCGGTATAACCATCTCGCTCATGCCAGAAGTAAAAATACTTAGATTCACGGCGGGAGGTCGAAGATGCAAAATGTCTAGATCTACAATCACCAATCCACCTGGAGATTAATTATGGGGCCTCGCCCAGCTGTGGACATTTGAAGAAAAATAATTATATCCAGCTTTTTTCTTCACAGCGCGACATTTACACGTGGGCGTTGGACCATCGAGTACATCACAAGTATTCGGAGACCGTAGCAGATCCGCACGATGTTCGCCGTGGTTTTTGGTTTGCTCACGTGGGCTGGCTGGTACTCACTCCACACCCGGCAGTGGAAAACCGTCGTGCCGCGCTTCGACTGACTTCGTTTGACCTCCTTGCTGATCCCGTTGTGAGGATTCAAAAAAGGTTGGAAACGATTCTTTTCGAAAAAATGTTATTATAAGTGCAATAATTAAAATGTTTGTGGTCTAGACATTATGATGTATGAGAGTAAGAAAGGTTTACTGGGTGGTAGGATTTATTTTCTACCTGGGAGCCTATCTGAACAGCAAAAATAGGTGAAAGGCGCTGAACACAAGCCGTCTCGTCGCAATTTGGCTACCGCGCTGTTCCAGAGTTATTTTAGATTACTACAAAAATATTATACCGCAGGTATAGGTTTATAAGCAACGGAGTTTCATTTCTAGTTAGTGGTAGGATGTGTATGTCAATGACACATGTTTGCGCGTTACAAGTCGCGGTTACAGCTATTGTTTGAATAAGCCCCATTGTATTGCATTTTGTTTACAACGTAATCAGGAACTTCACCACCATTATAACAGTTCAACAAGAAAATTATTATGAAAAACAAGAAACCGACCGCAGTGATCTTTTTATGTAATTAATAAAATCAAATTATGATTCTCAAAATATCATAGTGAGCGATTTAATAGTATATGTATGGGGCACCGAAATTCTCAGCTTTCAACTTTTTACAAAAAATTAATTACACATATTAAAAAAAAATTTCACACTAAAACTAAAAATAAAAAAATTTTAGGGCCTAGTGACAAAAATAATCGCATTTCAAAATCTCTCAATCTCAGAACAATAATTATCGTTAAATTCTATCAAAACTTCATTACTGCTTATATTAGTCTCAAAGATATTTGCCGTAGTTGCCGGGCGAACAGTCGAGTTGGTGGTAGCCGCACATTTTTTATTATTATGAGTTGTTATCAGCAAGACGCTGCTGCATCTCCTGATTCAGTTTCTCTCTGTCGCCTGTTACTACATCAACGGAATGATATAGCTTAGTAGATTTCCTTAACCCCGCCACTACCCGGCACACAAAGTTACACAAGGGAAGTCTGTAGTTCGTGATAATGTCCTAGACACCCCCCGCCATTACATATGATTTGATAAACAACAAATACTCGCCAAAGAACATCGATTTCTACCAACGATGAAACGTGAGGCTATTGAAATAAAAAAAGAATAATTTCAATAAATAAATCTGGTTACTACCACCTGCTTGGGATCCTGTAACTAATAAAATTAAAATTAAATCAAATCATCCGAAGATCGGACTAAAATTTATAGTTAAAAAGCTGAAGGTACTACCGAATAACTTTGATATCGGGACGTGTACTAAGTCCCCCCGTTCAAAACTCCCCCAACCCTGTTAAATTAAAAAATTGTAAAATTAAACGATAAAATCCGTCATAATAGTTTTATTCAAAGATATGATTAAATGCAATTTGAAATAGCCAGTTAAATTTTAAATTGGCCATTAAAGTATCCCCTTTCAGTCCCGTCTTGTCTAAATGTAGGTACCTATAATGCAAAGTTTGCTAAGTAAGTCTGCGTCTGACGAAGCTAATAAGTTAAAAAGCTCTTATGTTAAATTATTTGGCTATTTACAGATTTGGCTATTCACAGAGTCTTAAACAATGCTATTTTTATTTCTTTTTATTGGTTTTTTTTGAGGTTTGTATATAGATTAAGTTTCGATAACCTGACATATCCGTACAGAAAAAGTCCCTAAAAGAGTAAATAGAAGAAAAAAAGTTCTTCAGAGGACGATTCAGACGTTGAATTTGAAAACACAAGAGAACACAATAGAATGGTGAATTTATTTATATTACGAACTATCTAGAAAAATAATTCGCTCAGTATTTAATAAACTACTTACGTATGTTCTGGTAACTGAAGTGTAGGGCGGCCCCACTAGATCGATTAACAACCTAGTAAGAAATGCAGGAAGTGGATGAACGCAGGTGTATCAGAACCGTGCTTGTCAAATTCCTTGGGGTAGGCCTATGTTCAGCTGTAGTTTTGTGATGGGCCGGAACGATGATGACCATGATTTAATAAATTCGAATCCCTAAGGATTAATCAAATACGATATTGTAATAACAATAATTACCTCTAGACCGATTTTCAGTCACAACGGCGCTAGTCGCAACGGAGACTAGCTAGCTGCGCAACTGCATCGGACTAATAAAGAATGAGGTTACTTTATGTATTTGATAATATAATAATGAGGTAATTTTAAGTCTGACGGGACGGTAACCGACATGACCAGAAAGAAATCCGGCGTAGGATTAACGGCTTTACATGATTTCGAAGGCACGGACTTGAATCACCGCCTACTTCCATACTCTTAGCTGCCACTGAAAATATCTTGACAGAAAAACCCAATAACTGATTTTTGCCTCATATGGGTTTCGTATCCGAACCACATAATTAGCAGTCGTGCTTACGACCAACAGAGCAATAAGGTATATAATATACAAAAAATTATCAGTACTCAAGAAAGATGTATCACTCTATATCGCAATAATACGTTGAAATAATTCAAAAGATATCATAATAATATAAAACGATATAATATATATATATATATATATATATATATATATATATATATATATATATATATATATATATATATATATTGGTCTTTATCTATGAAGTTGCCTTTTTTGTTATATAAAAATGACTAATTTTAATAAAAGAATTCATTTGATTAATTCAAAATGAATATCATTAAAATTAGAATTCTAAGCCATTCAAAACTTATTTTGATTTGAAATGGTTTTATTTTTTGGTGAGAAAATTGAACTACTGCAGAACGGCAATTTCTTAAGTAAAGACCTATTATTTCCTATCTTTTAATATTGGTCTTAGTATAAAATATATATTATAGTTGATTTAAGTTCATTTAAAGATTATTGTAGAAAATATGTATATCGTGATAAAATGATGTTAATGTAACGGCGCCTCTACACGTTGGCCAACACAGTGGCGAATGTAGTGGCCAATAGCATTGGCCAACGTGTAGAAGGGGTGTTTGGGCTTCATTGGTATGTATTGGAACGATGGCCCGCAAGTTGGCGCGAGATCTGTGTGGTGTCGGTTTTTTACAAAAGATCAAAGGATTGTTGGCAGAGTTTGGTCGCCGCGTCCACAGGTTGGGAGCGAGTTTAGTTTGCTACAAGCTCCCAGAGTGATTACACGCATCTGATTAAAATTTTATATTCACGCTTTGTAGGGTGGATGACCCGATTACCAGCCTTTTAGTGCAATTTCCACTTTAAACATTCCTATTACTTTAATTACCGCGATTTAATTATTTTTAAACATTTGTTTTAATCGATAAGCTATTTATAAAAAAAAATAATGAACATTTATTTACAATCAGATTATTACGAGAACAATTTTAAAATGAAAAAAAAAATGAAGCACGTCGTTTATACGTGGTAGAACCATGCAGTTATATTAGAAGTATAGTTGTAGCACGAATGGGTCGGTTCGACCGGTGAAGGACCACGCTCTCACAGAATATCAATGTAAAATAGTAGCTTAATGTTGCTGTGTTTCGTATAGTGAGTGTAGAGAACCAGAGACACTTTTTAAAGGAAACGAGGCATTTCATCTTAGTCCTCACGGGTGACAACGCATCTGCATTTTGATTCGTAATCGAGGATAGATGTAGATGTCTATGGGCCACAGCAACCACTTACCATCAGGTGAACTGTGTGCTCGTTTGTCACCCTATCCTATATAAAAAAGCGTCGATTTCTTATAATTTAATCGTGCAAGTTTTCGAATCATCATCATCATTACAGCTCTTCACAAGTGCACTACTGAACATCCTCTTCCACAGACTGCCGCAAAGCATGGTCCTGAGCCACTTTGCTCGTCATGAGTTTTTCATTTATGTTCTAAGTTATAATTAGTACCTATTATTAAGTCAGTGTTAATTATATTTATTGCTATTGTTTTTGTATTTCTCAAAAAATAATTAAATTACCAAATAAATTATAAGGTGTTTTTTATATACATCATAAGTCTGATAGAAAAGCAAGTACATGTTTTGCTAAACTTTAAAATCAAAACCCAATTTTAAAACATAGACTAATCGATTATAACTCCTTTAACTTTAAAATAAGTTAAGTTCTTATTAATGGTATTTATTCCAGTTTATGATGCATGTAAAGAATAAATAAAGCTAATCGTATATCGTATATCTATTTACAACCCCATTAATATACACTATTATTTTATAATTCTTTTATAAAAACGTTAACCCCACACTAGGATTTTCTCCTGTATCGCGCAGGCAGCTTACAAACATAAATTGCACAAGGACACACATCCAGACCCGAAACAATTATTTGTAGGATATACAAATACTTGTTCCGTGCGGGATCAATCCCGCGGCGTCCGGCGCAGCCACTCATTGCTGAGCCACTGCGCCACGGTGCTTATAAATTCGTGCGCACATTGGCCCGAACCGAAGTAAACTGAACGACCTTCCAACGTGTGGACGCCGTCACCAACTCTCGGCCAATATATTCGCCACTACATTCGCCACTGTATTGGCCAACGTGTAGAGGCGACATTATATGTATATGTGTATTACGATTACTTATGTGTTTTCCGATCGGCTCGATTCACTGGCGCTGCGAAGAGATGTTTCATATCTTTGCATTTTCTTTCGTATATATCACGGGGAGTGCTCTGAGGAATTGCTCGGATTAATCCCAGCCGCCAAATTTCGTGAACGCACTACGCGGCAAACGTCCCGATACCATCCACACCATCTGGATGCTTGACGGTCCATCACTGTACGTTTCACAAGGAGTTTTCTTCCGCGTACGACCTCTCTGTAGAATAGTTTACCACCGGCAACCGATACGACCTTCAAGAAAAGAGCTTACTCCTTTCTAAAGGGCCGGCAACGCACTTGCAATTCCCCTGGTGTTGCGGTTGATCATGGGCGGCGGTAGTCACTTAAAATCAGGTGAGCCTCATGCTCGTTTTCCCCCTCTTCTATAAAAAAATTACACTACGTGTGAGACGGGCTCAAGAGAAATATACTGAAAATGTTTTTTTCAGTACTAGTCAATAACAGTCAATATATTTTTATTATACTGATTCATTGTTATAATATGTTATAAAATGCTTGAACCCTGGTTGTTTTTAAACATTGTATTAATTTTGCTTTTTCTTTTTTCAGATTCTTTATTCCACTCTTTGCATTACTTAATGTGATACTGCCTATATGGATTCCTGTTTATTGCTGGAATGAGAGTCTGATTAACAGTTTTGTAGTAAGCTTCGTCACCAGATTTACACTAAACTTGAACATTGCCTTTAGTGTGAACAGCTTTGCACATTTATGGGGGAATAGACCTTATGACAGGTAAATAAAATTATTTGAAACTTTGTAGTTGAACTTATAAAAAAAAATATTCGCAATATCTTCAATAAAATAACAGTTCGAAAGTATTGTATTTCCTAAAATAAACACAATAAAAAATTGTCATTATTTTATGAAAATACAAGCGAAAGCTGTAACAGAGAAAAGAATTTAATTTTCTAACTAATGAGAATTCCAATGAAAATGTTTTGAAGATAAATTTAATACTATAATTACTTCTAAAAAAAATATACTTTTAAATTAACTTATCGATTTAGATGGTATGGTAATAATAATGTCCCCCAGACCGAATTTCGGCCACGTCGGCCTCCGCTCCTCGCAGGACAGGATTAAGTGCCCAAGTGTATGCGCAAGCACAGGTGCACTCTCTATTCCCTCACTCTCATAACCCGATGGGACGGTAAACCGACACGACGGAGAGAGATCAGGCGCAGGACCAACGGCTTTACGTGCTTTCCGAGGCACGGGGGTGACACACCGCCAACTTCCTGACTCTGGGCAGCTACTGAGAATTTCTTGACAGAAAAACTCAATAATTTTTTTTGCCCGACCCGGCATTCGAACCCAGGACCTCATGATCAGTAGTCGCACTACTACAGCCACTAGACCAACGAGGCAGCACAGCATGGCAAGGTATATATATCAGCTAAACACTGCTGTGTTTTGTTGAGTGTAGAGAACCGGAGACTCTTTTTACTTGAAATGAGGCATTCCGTCTTAGTCCTGAGTGGTGACAATGCATCTGCATTTTGAGTCTTAAACGAGGATAAGTTTAGATTTTTATTGTTGTCAGCATCCACTTGCCATCAGGTGGATTGTGTGCTCGTTTTTCACTCTTATACTATAATAAAAGCAGTCTAGGTGCGACCCGAAAGGTCTACACGACTAATTTCCTAGTGGAAAGAATAAAAAATATCAAATATTTTACACATTTTTCATTCGGCACAAAAAACGACTGGACCGATTTTGCTCAAAATTTAATGAGGTCTAAGTTACATAATTATGCGTTAATTGAAACTGGTCCCACGTCAATATCACTCTTTATTCTCGAGATACACGAGGTGAAAATTTAATACGAACGTAAATACATACATACATACGTACGTACATGTGCACACACGGATATCCTCTTAAAAACCATACTATTCGACTCTAAGACCTTGAAACGTGGAGTTATGTCAACATTTCCAATTTGCAAAATCTAACCCATTACAATAACTTCCCACTGGGAAGTTAAAAAATAATAAGAAATTGTTTGTTGTTATTTAGGTTCATTAAGCCTTCGGAAAATAAACTAGTCAGTATAGCTGCCCTAGGAGAGGGCTGGCATAACTATCATCACGTGTTCCCGTGGGATTACAGAACATCGGAACTGGGTCGATTCAACATATCGACAAATTTCATAGATGCATTTGCCAAAATAGGATGGGCTCATGACTGTAAGTAGATTACTGAATAATTTGAATTTTATTGACCTGTTTTAATGGAAAACGTGATTGATTCCATCCTTGCTAAGGTAAATAATATTGCATCGTATAAATCGCTAACATACGATGTTTTCTGAACTTATCTCCTGGACTTCAGCTATGAATCAAAAGCTCACTGAAATCCGTTTTAGGAATGCGATATTCATTTTATATGGAATTTTATTTAAAAAAATTCCAAAGGCATGCCTCAAAACATGCTTACTTAAAAAGTATCGCTTAGAACAATAGTGTTTCTGATAACTTTTCCAATTTTTTATAAAGCTTTGCGTAAAATACTTAAAAGTGCTATCCTCACGTACCAAAACAATTGAATAAATTAATCAGTTTAGGCATGGTATCTTACGTGTTGTACTCCAATTCTTTTAAGTTATCATATAGGCTCAGAGTACATCTTAAAGTTACTTTGTGACAATGAGTTAAGATATATAGTAGATAATTAGTTTCGTTAAAGTGAGGGACATCTGATGCTGCTGTAATTTGTATGCCAAGCGTGAAGACCTACTTTTGCAAATCCTTCCTTCTTTAATATCCGGCAGTGGCGGTTGCGAACATGTGATATTGATGATTTTGATGATGGAATAATCATTAAAAGAGAATTTTTCATTCTTTTCAGTAAAAGCTGCCACTTCATCAATGATCATAAACAGAGCCCTCCGAAGCGGTGATGGAACACTGGAAGAAGAACCGGATCCAAATTTTAAGACAACATAATTCATTATGTATTCCATGCCAAAATTTATATACACACTTACTTACATGTATTATTTAAGTACGGGTAGTTTATTTTAAGAAATGTTGCATTCCAGAGTGTTTCTTTAAGTTTAAGTTATTTTACAACGTTAAGGGCATTTTTGACACATGAAGATTTGATTTAAATGATCACAGTATTATTTTGTTTATAAGTATTCGAAGAAGTAGAAAGTTATTTCTGTTAGTATATTTTATTCTTATAAACTTTTTATAATATTTGGATGAGATATAACTTTTATTAGTATTATAAAGAGCATTTCATTAAATAATTTTTAGAAAAAATGAATATTAATTTAAAACTATTGTTGTTCTTATAATGTATACTGCGGATTTAACACTTAAGTATTAATAGTAAATTACATTCAATAATACAGTTATCTACATCTATATCTATATATAGATATAGATAACCGTATTATATCTGTATTATTGAAATAAATAGCTTCTATTAAGCTAAGCGGGTATTTACATGTTATTAAAACTTATGAAACTATTCAGAAATTTTGTTTGTGATGTGATGAAGCTTTACGAACAGATGGAGAATAATGCCAAGGGATTTAGGCTTTATTTTATCTTTGAAGATTAAAAAAAAAACACGAATTTGATAAAATAAATTGTCTTTGAAATATTTCCACCTTACGGTTACTTGTGTTAAAATAAGATTATAATTCTGCACATAGATGTAAGAACTAACCAAAATTGAACGAATCTTCTCAGATTTGTATTATGATTAAATCAATTGGAGAAGATTAATTGATACTGTCAAAAACACGTCAAGAAGTTATTATTACCGCTCATCGCCAAAATATTTATATAAAAATACTTTCAATAAAAAAAAGAATAAAATAATTTTCACAGAGTAGCTTCTAAAGTCGGTGCTATTTCGTTTTCGTTTGCGGCTAAGATATAGCGTCCCGAAGAAAAAAATCGCACTTTAGAAACTATTATATGGAAATTATTTTTGAGAAAGACTTCCGTTAGCTTACAACTAGTGATGCAACGAATACTACTTTAATGAATACGAATACAAATACGAATATCTCGCTATGGTAATAACTAATTCATTTGATGATTTTCTATTGTTCTAATAATTAGAATTCACAATAGACAAGTTTTTATTTAAAGAAAAAAACATAAAATTTGTAGATTTTCTGGTTTTAGGCGATTTCTTTTTTCAATCTGGATGTTCCCAGCCGTTGAAAAAAGTCTTTCCGAGGTCACTGTACATGGTTTCAGTGAAAAATATTTTTGGGTGAATTTTTTCAACCTTGGAAAATGAACATCATTTTGCCAAAATGCCTAAGTATCAGTAGTGGGAGCTTTAGATACTCATTTCATTTTTAATTTGCGAATCCCCTGTAAAAATATTTTGAAATTAAATTATTATATATTTATCTGATATTTGGTATGATTTATCGAAGTATTTCCATATGTCACTTTCATCTCGTTTACGAGAAGACATTTCAACTTCAACTTCTTTAAACAATTAAACTAAAGCATACTCTCTTGCTTGACCTGTGCTTTCGTTCGACTGTCAAATGAAATGAATGAATCAATCCAGGGTTCGTAGTGATAGGAAAACCCCGGAGCCCCGTCGTTGCAGCTAAGGACAGGGCACACGTCGTATTTTTTCGCGCCGACGACGCGTGTTTTCCAAGTCTGTCAGTAATTAGAGTTGCGTAAAAAAATATTAGTTATATATATTAATTATATATAATACGAATATTTGTATTCGGCGAATACAAATATTCGTATTCGTATTCGTTACATCACTACTTACAAACATTATAGGTGACTAAATTTTATTTATCTATTTACACCTAAATATTTAATCGATCTTTAAATGAAGCTACTTAATCAAAAAATAAAAGAAATTAAAAAATATAAAATATTATTTTTGTAAAACAAATATGTATTAGCAATGTTTATTTTTTGTTATTGTTGTTCAAATTAAACTTGTTTAATATAACTATACTATTAGTATGTAGTATGTACTGCTTTAATTTATTACATTTGTAAGTTCCATTCTGTACTACCGACTATTTTAAAGTACAAATTAGTATACTTTTTATTATTAGTCTCATTGTTATTAATTAACATACTTGTCAGGATTTATATATTTAAGTCGTTTGGATTGGGTTTTGCTATTTTTATTATAATAAATGTAAACATTTTGGAAAACCTTTGTTCTTTGTTTAATAAGTAAATGACCACAGTTGTGAAGAATAATGTAGGTACATCAAATTATTTTGTATTCCTTTAATTGCCCTAGTTTGATGGACTCAGTTCTTTTATTAAATAAAAAGCAAAGTAGTGGCCTATATACGTCTCATTGCTGGGCATAAGCCCCCTGTTTCTGAGAGAGTCATGGAGCAGTAAGTATGCCACGATCCTCCATTACGTGTTGGCAGACTTCTCATGTTCTTGAAATATTTTAATTCTTTATCAAACAGACTTTCGAGGTTTCGCCTCACCGCCGAGCACGTGCTAACTCAGTACATAACAATTTTATTTTTGCCGGCAGGAATCAAATCTCTCATTCTCGCATGTTGAGAAATATGCCCTTAACCGCTGTGGTATGATTCTGCCTCAGTTTTTCAACTAAGTTGTCACCCGAAATACTGTTGATGGCTGCTAAGCCCTCACTACTAAAATAAATTCTTAGTACACGGCAAATCATGTTGGCTAACGGGCAAATCTGCCGGCAGCAACGTAATATTGTTAATTGTAATTTTAAGCGCTGATTTATTAATTTAATAACATTATTATGAATATAATGATTTGTCGTGTACGATGAAGTTTCCTGTAGAATAAGGGTGACAAACGAGCACACAGTCCACCTGATGATGAAGTGGATGCTGTGGCTCATGGACATCCACTTTTATCCTCGATTAAGAATCCAAACGCAAATACGTTGTCAACCTTGAGAACTAAGATGGAATGCCTCGTTTCCAGTAAAAAAGGTGTTTTACACAGCATCTGTAAGGAATGAATAAAGCAATAAATTACCAAATGCTCGGTTTATGTTAATCCACAACATTGTAAGCATGCCTGTGCCTAGCAGTAGGATGCATACAGTCTGAAACTTTTTTTTAACTTCCCGCTGAGAAAATTTATTGGTTTCACCCCGATTTTCTAAAATCGAGTTTTCATCAACTCTCGACGTTTTGAGATCCCAGGAAGCTATTCTGACTAATTTCACGTGGACGTCCGTACGGATGTATATATGTATGTGTGTGTAAGTAGGTAAACATTTCATTCATCTCATCATTGCAGTCTTCTAGGTACTGAAAACGATTTCGTAACTGCAGCTGAAAGTTTTTGGGGATTTAGATTAGAGCACGACGGTGACGGAGCGTTGACTTCATTAGAAGTCTCCACGTTTAGGTTCAGTGTGCCTCTCACTATTCAATGATCGCTGCCAGTTTTCACCCATGCGATCACTGAGACATCACTGAACAGTTGTCATCTGGTCGTCATAATGAAGACAATCTCATTTTTTGTGGAATCGTAGGGGCTCAACCAGGTCCACTTTCTGTGGGCCGCTTTCGAAAGAAATAGTTCATCATATAGAGTCGTTTTCTCCATAAATTCGGCTAGCTGCTGGACGCTTTGATTTCGTTGGCCTGTTCCAAATTTTCCTACTTTCAGCTCATCATTCTCTTTTTTTGCCTAGTTTTGCGTTGAAGTCTCCCATTAACACCATATAGTAGATTTTTGAGGAATGCATGGCTCTAGAGATATCCTAATACATTTCCTTCACCATTGGAATATGCTGAGGTTGGTGCGTAAACCTGAATGACCTTCAGGAAATAATACCATTTGGTGATGCTGAGTATAAAGTACGCAACCCTCGTCGACACACTCCCAATCTTTACAAAGTTTGTTAACGAGAGACTTGTGGACGATAAATCCGACACCTCCTTGGGACATACGGTGGACAGATGGCCCTCCCGGTGAAAGAACAAGTTGCTTGATTCGAGAATTACCGTGCCCTCCTCCTCTCTTCGGACCTCTAATAATCCTATAATATCCCAGCGCAACTTGTGTATCTCTTCTACTAGCTTCAAGATATTGTCGTCAGTCATCAGTGTGTGTGCGTTATATGTTGCCAGATCGAGTCGTCTTAAGTAGCAGTCGAACCTTCAGTGGAGATTCTCTGCCCCGCTGTAACCATGGCCGCCATCGTAGCCATGAATAGCGGGGCTGCGGGGTACTGGGGGCTTTTAATTGTTTTTTTGCTGTTGTCAGCAAGATGCTGCTGCCCATCTTCTGCCTCAGTTTCCCTCTGTCGCCTCTTACGACACCCATGAGAAGATATGGAGTAGTGGGTATTCTTACCTACCACTACTTGACTGTCGGTATATCGAAGTGCTGAAGTGTTTGTGCAGTAGGGTTACGATGGCCATCCTAGTACAGAACCAGAGTACGAAACCTATCCAAATATAGAGAGTTTCTTACACCTCACCACACCAAGGTGATATTATATCCCTGAAACTCTTTACCGCTGCATTGGAAGACGTTTTCAAGCTACTGGACTGAAAAGAATACGGTATTTACATTAATGGCGAGTACACCACTCAACTTCGGTTTGCCGACGATATAGTCCTTATGGCAGAATCGCTGAAGGCCCTAAGCAATATGCTTAATGACCTCAATAGTGTCATAGTGTCTTATTGGATAGGTCTTAAGATGAACATGAACAAAGCAAAAATCATGTGTAATATCCGCGTCACATCTACGCCGTTAGTTGTTGGGAGTACTAAGCTCGAAGTCCAAAAGTCCAACTAGTCCTACTTCGACCGAGAGGTCAATCGACGGATGCAACTCGGCTGAGCAGTGTTCGGGAAATAATGACACTTTTTCTCGCCAGGGATACCTCATAACATCAACAAAAGATTGTACAATTTATGCGTGTTGCCCGTGATGAATCTGAGATGGTGTCCTTCACTGCTGGCCAT